AATATAAACAGAAAATCAAAACGAATGGAAGAAATTCCAATCACATGTTTTATTTACAGCGTGGGGTAAAAATAGAGAAGTTTGTAAAATACATACTTTTCGTCGAGTTTTCGACCATGAGGCGAGCTCTCGTCATGTCACTAAAATAAATAACGAAATATACTACCATTATGTTTTTTGATAGTATGAAAATACGTTAGATGGAAGGTTTTACTTTCTGATGAAATTGGTTCGTTAGAAGAATTTCTCTCTCACCCCGCATATTTTGCAATTCAAATACTTTATTGTAAAAGTAAACTTTAATCAAGAAGAGTCTTGATTGTTGGATACTTGCAATGAATCTTTCAGCTAATAAATCGTACGCTTGTGTTTTGAGACCTTAATAATTTGTGGGGTTTGAGTAAAATCAATGCTAATTACATTACAAGCTAATTTAAATATTTGACAACATTCAACCAACAATTTACAATTCAAGTGACAATCTTTGTGATGTTTATAATTACTTATGAAAATTGTATACTAATCAATGAATAGCTTGTAGGAACTTTTGGAAGCGTATATCACTGAAAGAAGCCTCACCCTTAGATTGAACATCCGTTCAAAGTTACCTAAACCAATGTGGAATAATCAGCAGTTGAATAGTTATAAATGTAAAAAATATTTTCCAAAATTAGTTCCTAATTAATGCTACCATTCATTGACCCAAGTTGAATATACAGAGCATTGGTTTGAATAGACTGTTACAGAAAAATTCTTTATGAAGCTCAATCTATAAATAAAATGCCCCAAAATATTTTTCCGCTACTGTACATTTTATTTTATTTACTTATATTTTTCTTTAATCCAAAAACAAACAAAATCTTATTTATCTGACACCAAGGCCAAACACTAAACTCCTGAGTCTCTCTTTTGGCCTAAAGCTCTCTCAAAAGGCTACAAAAGGATTAAGACAAAGACTGTGTCACCAACCTCTATGGACTTTTGGACACCCTACTCTGGTCAGCTGACACCTTTTTTCAAACCAAAGAAGCCTTTTATGAAGTGAAAATGCTTTAGACTGCAAACCCTCGGTGTTTATCTAAACACCTCGAGCACACTTCTTAACTTGCACGGTCTGAAACCAAGCTCCCTTATTTAAACATACAGGGTGTTCTTAAAAGAATGGCGGGATTTCAAACGGTCGTTGCTCGGGGACTATTCAAGATAATTAAACGATTTAAACGTCAAATTGAAGGGAAAAGAATAAAGTTTTTTTTCTTATTCTTTCATACAGTTCGGAATGATTGATTAAAATTCAAATTTTAATCAATCTTATATGAGCGTAAAACTGTCAAAGTCTGTACGGGTAGGGCGATCGGCAGGTTTATCTGATGTCTTAACTGAATCTTTTTCTGCACAAAGAATCTATATTTTATAGAAAACATCATAAAGTGACCAATTTAGGTTCGTTAAACTGAAGACTTCGTCGAGCAATCGATTTTTTTGGGCTTCTGATGCAGAATTGTCGGATTTCTTCAACTATGTCATCGCTTGTTTTTAGCCGGCCAGGTGAATGTCTTTTCAAAACATTTCGGTGCTACGAAACTCATTAAACCAGCTTAAAGTTTCTTTATCATCAAGTAGATTTAAATTTAGTTTAATTTAGCAATGGATATAAACTCGGCGAACTACAGATTACAATCTGTGCCTTCTGTTGTAAATCATACTGGCGACTGGCGTCAGCCGTCAGGCGTATGAGTCAAAATAGCGGCCTATCACACCGCACCTGTTTTACGCATACCAAGGTCAAAGTTTCCTCCCTTGCTACACGGGAAACAAAACTTAGTTATTTTAGCTTCAATTTGACGTATAAAACGTTTAGTTACCTTGAATAGTATCCAAGCAATTACCATTTAAAATCCCGGCATTCATTTAAAAACACCCTGTATATTAGAAACAATGAACTTTCAACTTAGTACGATTAGCCGGTATTGTTTATTGTTTTCATGAGCTGTTCACAAAATTACTCATGCTGGTTCATATTGGCCGTTTTCTTTGTTGAGTTGTCTAACGTTTTGTTTGCTGTCACACAAGCCGTGCTCTGTGGCTAGACAGATTATGTGCAGTATGCTGAACAATTTGTACAATAGTACTTAGTCTAACAAAGCACGACTGCTGAAGTACTATCCGTCCGATCAGTCACTGTTGTCGAGTCCTTTGTAGCATTACAGACAATCAGTAAACAAGCTTGTCAAAGCTCTGTCTGCGCTAACAACACTTGGATTAAGTTAGGCCATTACTATGGAGGACGCTTTTTAAACTGTAATATAGTGACGAAAATGCTGAAATGTATCTATTTCTTGTCATATGTAAAACCATATAGGTAACTTAAAGTATCCCCTCATGGATTTCAAATCGTCCTGGGTCTGCTGAAAATTTTTTTAATGTTATTTGTGTCTGGCTTATATCAATAAACTGTCAATTTTTTTTCAAATGATTTTGCTTGTAGCAAAATAAAAGTTCTCGTGGTAGCGCTTTCAAATGGCTCAGAACTGCACATAAGTTCCAAATAATAACATAATTACCAAAGACGTTCTCAATAGTATACTCTTTAATTTATTCCTGTAAATATTTTACGAGTTTAACTGTCTTAAGACAGTTTACAACAGTAAATCAAAAGTTTAATGTGGAATTTAATCCAACAACAACAATACAACTATTTTAATAAAATTACTGATGTTTTTAAAATAACCAAATACCAACCAGAAACTACAGGATAGATTTCAAACAAATAGCTGTCAAAACAATAAAAGAGGTACCGTCAGTTGGTCGAAAGAGCGCTACCACCAGAATATCCATAACTCAATAACGTCATATTTCCAATATCCTATAAAATAACTGGATTCCATCCAACCAAATTCAGAGTTAACTTCATCGTCCCCTCCCGTATATCGCAATAATCAATTTTGAAGTAAAGACCAATTGAAACATGTTAGCTTGGGGTTTCCTGAATTGAACTTGGAAAAACATTACAGTTTGTTGTTTTGCTCTCTTTTACAAAGGTTGTAGTTTTATAATTATTTGTGACAACTAAAAATATCAATAGCAAAAATTGGGGGCTTATAACAAAAGTCCATCCATATTCCGTTCACAACATTTATGCGGGAAAGTTTTCCCACCACTTTTTCTGCTGTGGATGTTGCAGGTGATCAACGTTTAGGCAAATCTCAGCTGTTGAGCTATGTTTGGTAGGATCAAGACGTGGAGGGAATAGATTTCTTCCCCTGAAACCGCCTAAATTTTGTATTATTGGACGCAAAATAGCCATGCTTGTGTGTCGTAGCAGTTTACATATATACTCTGTATGGTGGAACCTGTATCCTTACCCCTTACTTGGGGTCTGACCAATGGTTTAAAGCCGAGGCCAGGAGACAGGTAACTTTTTGATGGAATAACAATCGTCTATAATCAAATGTAAATAAAACTGTACAACACCAGAGCGAGGGAGACACAAAACCGAAGGTTAGAACAACACAAAATAAAAGAATTCCACAGTAGACAGGATGCGAGTGTATTTATCGAATGACCGCTGTATCGTGTGCGGTCGCGGTCTAGCGGCTAGATCAAAGGTCGGCTGGATGGACAAACCCTAGTGATTTTTCTCCGGTTTTTTGTGCCCAGTCCCGTTCCAGTCCCACTAGGAGCAGTAAGTAGTTGTGCTGCTGTTACCACGAACGCCTTGTCCTTGTTTACCGGCGTTTGTTGTGTTCCGGTGTCTTCACCACGATATTTTTCGATCCAAGATCCAATCCTCAGTTTTCTGTGTCTGTTTATATTTTCTATTTGTGTTTTGCGGAATGTGTTCCTCGATCAATTCTTTTGTAGGGCAGGGCCCTTTGACTGAAGTTCCGTCAGGTTTGAAAACTATTCAATTGGTTTAATTTATTATAAGTTAAGTTAATTGTTAATTTATTGTTACAGTATTTTGATAGTGTGTGCACAAATTAAATTAGAAACTAACGTATGTGTATATGAGAAGAATATTTATAGCCTAATTGTTTATTGTAACGTCACTGGATGGATTGAGTTAATACTTTTTACTTAAGAGGTGTTTCAATTTCAAATGATGAGATAATCATTGATTGATACTTATCTTGAATCTTGTAAGTGGTAAGCCCTACTTGAGTGTCATTGTTACATTTTGAGTCCAAACTGAATCAAGAAGGTTTAAAAGTGCAATGTTGCACATATTTTACTGATTGAGAGTCTTAAATTGATTTGTTGGAAGCAGTTAATCACAGTGTAAAATCAATTTGTCATTATATTCTAACATTTTTGTAATTAAATTTATTTTATTTATAAATTGATCGTAAGAAATGAACTAATGTCCTACTATGCAAAAATAAATAATTGGCAAATCATTTAAAACTCCTTAAAAAGTTCTGAAAATTTATTTTTACTGAACATGGTCTATATAAAGTTTTGCATGTGCTTAATATTTTCCAAACGAACCCAGATAAATCATTAAGATTTGGTAACATCAACATCACACCTAAAAATCTACTTTTTTAAGGAGCTATCAATTTTCTGTCATATCATAGAAATGTCCCGCAAGGAGTCACAATGAAATCTTAAATAGGAGCATAGGTTGATTTGTACATCAAATTAAAGACCTTTAATAGGTACCAAAATACAATGCCGCAAATTTGAAGTCAAACGGACAACCGAGTAAAAAATTACAACTTAATAAAAAAGGCAAAAAGAAAAATAGAAGGTGGATACAGAGCAAAAATATATTTTTCCTATAAACACAGATTTCCCCATTCCTTTGCCAGGCTTTAAAGAGGAACTTTACTGACTTTTCATATTATAAATAAACTCTTAATTTATACTGATAGGGATGGTAATTTTGATAGCTGGTTTATGTTATATTTATGCAAATTACTAAATAATTGGTCATAATAAGATACTCTGTTGCAGTACACAACATGGATATTTGATCAACTAACATCAGCTAAGGAATGAAGTCACTGTCGTATGTGTACCTGTGTCTGATCTTCATCTTAGCACAAATACCATTCTTTGTTGAATCTTCAAAAGAAGTTACAAATATAGAGGTTGGTGTTGATTACTTTAATAACTTTTTAATTCCTAGAACAATCCTAATTATCTTTTCAATTAGTGATATGTACGCCAGAGTTTACAGCTTTGTTTTAAATAGAAGTTTACAGCAGTCAAAAGAACATTTTATGGTTTTTGTTGAAAATATTGTAATGTTTTTTTTCCAATCTTTAGCGATTGAATCTGAACTTTTTGAAACATTTTACTGCAGCATTGTTGACAAAAGTTTTGTTAACAAAATATTAACAATTTGTGGTGTACTGAACTCTGATGTAAACGCAGCATTGCGATGCTTACAAGTGGTCTTACTATAGATTTATTTTGTAGGTTACAATATAATCCTTACTCAGGGCTTTAACCCCCTTAGCTTTTGTAATTCTCATTATTTAAGGTTATTTTAAAGTATTCAAAATCAAACGAATAACTGTTTTATCTGTATTTACTTTAGCTAATTAATTTACTAAATATTTAATAAGTTGTATGAACAAGCCAAAGTATGCTGCTAGTTTCACGCTAGCAGTAACCACGAATCCTAGAAAAATACCGGTATGGATCATAAACATAAACAAATGACGTTGTTGGCCCGAATCCTATACTAACAGCATTAACATATGTTTTGGCAGTTCCGTTTAAGCAATGTTAAATATTGCTTATTTTTGGGCCAAAAACGTAATTTGTTTATGTTTATGATCCATACCGGGTCTTTTCTAGCATTCGTGGCAGTAACTATAAATTAACTCTAATTTTGGGTAATTAACGTTAAACATGCTATTCAACATATTTTTCTAAGGCTTATCTCATATTTAATAGTCATGTTTTTTTTTTTAGATTACAACTAAGAGTGGGATTAGAGATTCCCTAAATGCAAATCAATGGACAAAAAGGAAAAGTATGCATCACAAAGAACACAAAAGAGGAAGACACAACAGACACTCTTCAGCAAAGAGATATTTTGAGAAACAGCTGTTGGTTAGGAACAGAACACTGGCTTTACTAGGTAAGTTATTTTACGGAGAAGTAAGGGACAGAGGAAACACGCTTATACCCCGCTTAAGGACTGTGTGCTTTCAGTTCTGGGATGTTGTGCCGGAACTATACTTGTGGAGAGTAAAGGTGGGTTTTTCTAGCTCCGCATTTTATGCAGAGCGCACTGCGTGATGCGCAGTCCTCACTGCGGAGCCTACTCAACAACACTGAATCAGACAGGGCCATTTTCCTACACACCTCCACGGTGAGGAGTACGCTCTGCGCAACTGGCCGACTCATCTGAGAGCAGTCAAGTGCGGACCACGTTTGGACACACGTTTTGGCGGTTTTTCTGTGTATTAGTTGACAGTGATGCAATGGATAGATTTACAGCCAGTGATGACGAACAACTTATCGATATATTCGGTGCTCAACGAATTTTTCGGAATATGGCCGATAAGCAGTTTAAAAATACTGTCAAGGTGACTTGGTGTGGATCAAAATTTTAAACACTCCCACTTTCTCTCTAGATGTGTACATGGAACTGACAAATATTTTCACAATTTAAAAAGATGACCAACAATAAAGTCAATTTCATCTTCAATCTCTTCTTCCTCTTCTAATAACATCAACAACGCCAATAAAATTATTTTCTTATTTAGAGGACGAGAACTCATGTTCACTCACTGAACATACAACAACTAACATTTTGGTAGCAAACAACTACTGACACCTTGCAGCGCATTGCTGAAAGCTAGGAAAACACATCGCATTGCATTGCGCGGAGAGAGATCCGCAGTACACAGTGCGCTCCGCACAAAACGCGGAGCTAGGAAAACCCACCTTTAGGAAGAGCCTGGACAGCAAGCACTGCGCACGGAAATTCCTATCGCACAGGGCACATAGGTCTTCCTCCACCCTGAGTATTGTAGTATGAGGGCGAGAGAGGACGAGTTTTAGACTTTGCTCTAGACCACTAGAGCTAGTCACCACTTAAGTGTACCATGGAGGGTATCCTCTGTTCCTTACTTCCCAGTTCTTTGGTTATTTCATAGACAGAGAAGCAAGATTGGGAAACCACGATACTTTTAATTTTAACCTTGGTGAACACCTGTGTTAGTGTCACCATATTTTTGGGTACTTTAGTGGTCATTATTTCAGAACACTTCTAAACATTATTTCTACCCAAACCATTAAGCTAACATTATGTTGATCAATGTAAAATTAGTTAACCTATGAACTTATTTGAATAACAGTTAGGAAAGCAACTGGGAATTTGTTTATCGGATAGATTTTCAACAAAAGGGATTTTTTTACATTTCAGAAAAACAGTTAAGACAAGGAGTGTAAAGAAGAATAAACTGTTTGGATTTCATGTGTTTTTTTTTTAGGAACCGGAATGGAAAAATTTCTCCCAAACGCTGTGGATCTATTGGACATAAACCCACAAGAACTTCCAGGGGAATCTCCATTTCAAAAATGGCACAATCATGGAAAGAAAAATACTGAACTAGAAGTAAACAACACAAAGCCAAATTTACCAGATGAAATTCTCAAACGAAACCAACTTCTTGATTTGGAAGAAGATCAAAGTTTCTCTGATGTCAGGGGTGATCAAATGATAGGATATGATTACAGATATGAGTCAGCGAAAGTTGAAGACACTGAGGTTCTACAACTGAACCTGGGGAGAGCTTTAAAAACGTTACTGAGAATATTCTCCATCTCATCAAACAACAAAACTGAAACCAACCCATGCAAAAAGGTAATTTATACATGATCGATTCTGTATCACTTGTACCTACAAAAATGTCTACTTCATCATCAAATCAGTCTCCATTAAGATTTTTTTTTTATCAAAACTGGACCAAGGAGTTAATGATTGTTAACTGGATGGTCCTGACTAAGGAAAGGGCTGTTCTTAGTCAGTACAACCCGGATCATCCCACTCCATTCCACACTCACCCTCAATAATAAACAGTCAGTTCAAAATATGCAAGAGGACATTGCTGTCTTTAAATGATTGAATTGAATCCTACACTCATCCTTGCAATTATATTCACCTTATTGTGTACATAAAGTATGTATTGCTGTCTCAATATGTGGTTACTAAGTGAATGACCTATTAAACTTATTTTCAGTCACATAATTGTATTTTGCGTTACTAGCCCGGTAAGTGGTGTTTTACCTCGTGAGCACGACAGTTCCCACGCGAGGCGTAACCGAGTATGTGATTTTCATGCGAGTACGGTAAAGCTTATCATGCGAGTAATGTTTGATACTTTACATCATACTGCACAGAAAAATTACTAGATTTTATACTCATAACACAATTTATTTAGGACATAACATGAATTATGTTATTTTAATATTTCAGAAAATAAATTGCCGTGCAGTGCACGGTAAAATTACATTACGTTACTTTTCCGTGTGTAGGCACGGCAAAGGGCAACTTTCCAGCTTATCAATACGGATGGAAAGGTACCTGTTTCTGTGTATTATGTTGTAAAAACATTTTTGGGTTTGGAATCTGATTCGGTCATCATGTGGGACAAACTTCATAACCAGATTGAAAAGAGACACAAAACTACACAGGAACACTGCATAGTCAGAACTTGGTCAAAGTACCACATACAGACAAATAAACACAATAAATTTATAAATCAAGTACAGTTGACTCATTCACTCTCATTTCATGGGAGTCTATTTAATTTAAGCATAGTTAACAATATTGAATCCATTGATTTAATTCAACTTGAAGAGGTTCCTGAAATTGTGTTTTTAAAATGTGTAAATTCGACATTTCAGTGGATGGGTTGCAAGAAGCAGTTAAAACAAGTGCTTATGGGTCAGTTGCCATCTTGTCCTTGTGAATACCCGAGCAGCATCTTCTATGAAGACAAAGTGTGGGACAAGAGGTTAGGAAGGTATTTCCGCTGGAAGGACGCCAGTGGGGAGAGATTGGACGTTTACAAACCTGGGGCGGATTACTGCATAAGAAGTTTGATTAACCAGGGTTCTTCAAGCCTGGCAGTGCAACAATGCTGCTATGATAGGTGAAGTTTGGCTAATTTATTTTATCCACCCATTATCTACGTCATTGGTATTGTTTTACATCGTTATTAAAGGAAATGTCTAAACTGTTACTGTAGTGTTTCACTAATATTCTATACACATTTGTTTGAACAATTAACATTATTAAATGTCCACTTTTAAACTTCTATCATTGATGTTTTGTAGTCAAGTTGACTTGCCATCTATATTGACCACCTGTAGCAAATTATTTTATTTGAAAAAGAAAACGTAGTTTGAATGAGATTTTCTCCACTTAGGTTTTATAAGGTACTGTGACAGTTTGTGTGACATAAAGATGCTATCGCTTGCAAATTGTCATTTCAATTTTGTTTGGTTAAAAATTTGCTAATTGATAGAAGTCAGTAATTCACATCAGAGCACTCTGATCATTGGCTCAATTTAACTACATAAATTTTAATTCTAAAACTGGTTACAACATCGAAACAGGATGTGTATTTCTTTCTATGGCCAAAGCTTATACTTCTTCTTCCAAATGATCTCTTTAACCCCTACTCTTGTTCCTAGACACCGAAGACTCATCACCAGAGGTTCTGGAGCAGGGACTCCCAACCTGATCAGTCCGGATATCTCCCCTCAGCTGCACCACTCCGTGGATATCCTTCCTTGGATACTGTGTAAGGGAGACTTCACGATATACAACAGAGCCAGACCCCCGGATAATGGACTCAACTGCTCTGTAAACCCTGTGGCTAGAGAGTTCAACAGACAGATCCATCTAGCGAAGTACTTCTGACTGCAACAAGTGTAGAAGTGGACGGATTTAAGCAGCTATAACTGCTGGGTGAGAGTGAAAAGAACAGCAACCATTGATTTTGTTTAAACTTTGACAGAGAAGCAGTTTGTGAGAAAATGAGCACGTGGAGGTAACACCTCGAGGTTATTTAAAGACACTTGCGGACTTTGTAAATCCAGATAAAATATTGCTAGGTCAGTGGTGGCAACACACAAATTCTGCAAACATTGAGATTTTCGGAATGCCATCACTAGTGTCACGAGGCGTAGATTTCCTATCTTACTGTATTTTAAACAGCTGTTTATTTATGTTTACTATTAGTTTATGGTTTATGTTATGGGTTTGTACTGTAAATCTATTTTTGGACATGTGTGTCACATCCAATGAGCTATAAATACAACTCGTGGTAGCACTGACACATAACTTTGCTAAAAAATCGATATGCTATAAAATATTTTATGTTTGTATCAGCTAGGGAAATCAGCTCATGACTTTGCTTATGTACAATCACACAATCCCTTAGTTCAAATGTACTAAGTGCAATGTACTTTTTCCTCTAGTAAAATTGGCACCAACGCCTCACAATTCTCTCATTCAGCGCTACCTGAATTCGTATCTCTACTTCAGTGGTCACACCCTCATCCACTAGTGGGCTATTCAAATCCAGCCCTTTCTTCTATGCCACTCAGTAGTAAAACAAAACTATGATTGTGAGCAGCAAGTATATTGAGTTAAATCCTACACCGATACCACAACAAGAACTTAAGGTATGTATTTTGTTGTTCTTGCATCAGTAAGATGGCAAGATTACATTTTGAATGCCCTTATGATTATCTATGTATATATTAAATAAACATTGCACCTGAATGAGAAGTGTACATTTATTATACATCAGTCTCAATGTAGTTCTGTATAAGTTAAATAATTTTTTCCCCAAAAATGTGAATACATTCAATATTGGACAACTAAAAAGATTTCAGCCCCAAGTGTAAAATTTGCGAGTAAAGCTTTCAACTACTTCTGATATCAATTTTGTTATATACATAGTTCAATTTTAAACTATTAAGTGGTACGCTTGGTCTGAGGTTTTCCCCTAGCCTCTACATATCAGATCGTCAACCATCATGGCTTGATAGTGTGCAGAATTATTTTAGCTTCAAAGCTGTTCACTATAATTCATCAAAATGATCAAAATAATCATTTTGGTTAAAACAGGTTATCAGCCAAAACTGCTTGCCTCCCAAGCATTTAGTGTTGACTAGTACAACTACACCAACGACAGAAACTAAACTACTGATGTTAAATTTATCCGAGCTGCTTTGTAAAAAGACGATTACAATTGGCCACCTAAAAATACTCTCTGATTGCAAAGATGCAAGATCTTCACCTTGAACTCCCTAAAGCGATACATCTTGGTTCATGTTATTCTATTTCCACATGACAACGATGCATCATGATCTCGATTTGGATTCTATTTTAGCAAGGTCTTATAGGGGTATGTATTTTTAAATATAGTATACCACTTTCATACAGGTTTAAAATATATCTGTCGGGTTTAAGTTCAAGCACAAAGAAGTAAGACAGAGAATATATTCAATGGTACACTTAAGTGGTGTCTATCACCAGTTGCTGGTGTCTAAAGCTAATTCTATTGGTCGTCCCCTTCCGCTACCCTTTCCCCCTTCCCATCACGTACTACAACGCTTAAGCGGCAGGAAGTTTCTGTGCATTACAACTGATGTACAAAAGTGCTATGTGATCATCGCCATTTGGGCTATTCCTTGCTCAGTACGAGTAGATTTCAGCCCCACCATTCAATAGCTAAAAGCGCAAGGTTGTCTCATAACCTAGTATTCTCTGGATCTTGCTTCTCTGCGGTTCTATAGAGACAGTTTAATGCTACACTAACATTTAAAGAACAGGAAATTTAGGGTATAAAAACTTGTAAATACTGTTTAATTTTATTAAAGACAAAGGAAATTAAAATTAATTTACTATGTACAAAAATATATGAACATACCTAAACTTCTAAAGCACACAAACATGAACATTAAATACATATTTGTGCTTTTTTGGATTTCAACTTTATATTTATACTTTTAATGTCCAATCACAAACAAAAACACAACAAAAGTAAATACATTTACTTATCTAAACCATACGCATATATTTAGATACGAGCACCTATTATGATATGGTCAAGATTATGGTAATGATGATTCATATTTAAGCAACGCTGTTGCAAACTCCTTGATTCCCATGTCAATTAATACATGAAGATTTCTTATCTGTTCTTTGATTATATATATAAAATACTAACTTGATTCAGTAGTCTGACAGGATTGATTTCCAACATTAGAAACATTTCTTGAGAACAAAACAAAATAAGCATTAGGGACAAAATAAGTTTTACAGTAACAAAACCTACTATTTAAAAAATCTAAAAAAAGCTTCATACAAACCAAAATAAATTAGGGTTTTATATGTATAAAACCCATGCAAAGTTACTTCAACCTACTATCTATCCTACGTAACTTGTTATGGTTGTTTTTGAATAATTGGTGACATAAGGGAATTATTAAGTGAAATTGTTGTTTACAGATTGGAAATTACTAAACATACTTAAAAGGCACCCAGTGAAACTATAACTACATACAGTTCCAAGTGACTAGATTAACTACATTTACAATGTATAGTCCATAAATGAATGCCTCCTACATGCCACATACAATAGTCCATAAATGTAGTATGTATATGGTTGATTACATGTAAACCTACAATGGAAGATTTAAACTAACTGAATTTTACCACTTGGAATAATTAAACTAAGTTAATCATGAAACAGTGTTTCTACACAAATGCTTTAAACATTACAAATATGTTAGTATACCTTTAAATAAGCTTAAGTACTCATTCTAACTTGCAATAGAAACTCCTTATGTACACTACTCTTGGAATAGGCAAGAAAAAAAATTAACAAGAAGACTACTTATTTACAAAAATCCTATTTAAAAGCTTTGAGAATGTTAGGAGAGAATAAATTATTTAGTTTAAATACAAAGAAGGAATAAGTACAGAAGATATCTGTAGGTGAAAAAGTAAGTTGTGAAACACATAATTTGGGCTGATTTGCTTATCGAACATTGTGCATACACACTTTTGAGTAGTTTCTATTTCCTCATTTGATCACATTCAATGGTGTTGCTGAGATCACTGATCAAGGTGTGTGTTGAAAAAAAGCGAGCCTGGGCTTTAGTGATTTACTCTGCTGGATTCCTACTGAAGGAAATTAAGTGATACAATGTCAAATGCAGCCTCAGTTTCATCCATTACAGTCCCACAGCCTTTCTGTGTAATCTCGAATATACATGTTCAGTAATGTAATGGGCTCGGTCAGAAGCAAGAACAAAGCAGCGATGTCCTAAATCACATGTTGGTCCTGGCACTTAAAATTTATTGGTTGATTGTTCTACTGTACCAGCTTTCATTATACATGTCTATGAATCCTTGTGGACGAGAAATGCAAGGTTTAATTCAAACAAACTATCAACCTCTTTAAAAAGACACAATGGGTGCGGCCTCGGCCCCAAAGTTAAAGCTTAAAGGTTCATTCTTTTCCTCCTATCTCAGGAAGTTGCTTTAAACTCTCTGCGACTAGCTACATAAGGCAAATAAGAATATTACAGGTGTCGCAGCATGTTACGGATATCGTAAGAAACACCTGCATTGCTTAAGAATTCCTAATGGAGACATGTAGAGAATAAACAGTCACAGGAGACTGCATCTACTGTTTGACTAGACAGAACTTTTCAAGGTTAGATGAAGCACTCTTGCAACCATGGTGAAGGGGTACCTGCCTCAGGCAGAGCCTATAGACATTCTGTAGTTTATCGTATAACCCCATTTTGGCGTTTCTGACAATCCTAGAAGCTGCACAATTAATCAAACTTGAGTGAAACTTACTATGAAAATCAATATAATCAGGCATATGCCTACATACCACGTAAAAAGAGAAAATAGTGGCAAAGAGACAAGTGTTTAGAAGGAAAAAATGTCGAGAATGTGAACATCAATGACAAACACCTGTATTTTCACTATTTTCCCACTGTACTTATTACTTCTTTGAGGTGTTACTAATAAAAGCTGATGATAGATTAAAAAAAAAACATTGGAAAACTTATTAGTGTAGGGTTTAAATATACATGTATAAAGCTCTACATGAAATTCAAAAAGGCCTAAACTGTTTAACTACAGTAAAATTTTTCATCTAGCAGCTCATGCAATAGCAGTATTGTAAAATCTACTTTTTGCTATATTTAAAAAGACGGGAATATAAATTGCACTTAATACTTGGATATTAGGCTAACGAGGTATTTTAAGCAAATCCCTGTTTTTCATCATTTTGGCATCACACTTCACTTGCATAGCCAACTAATTAATCTATACTATTATAAAGAAGAGGTGGTGTCTGTGTGTGTGTTTGTATGAGGTAATCTCAAAAACTACTGAACCTATTGGGCTCAAATTGCACACAAATGAAGCTACAGCTCCGAGGATACATATAGAACTATTCCCGCTTCGATATTGTCCTAGGGCTCTGCCCCGTGGGCTTTCAAAAATCGGAGGTGAGAGATTTTAAAGTAAATTTTGATTGATGGTATCCATGACAACAAAGAACAAACCTACAAAGTTTAAAATGTAAACAAGCAGTACTAACTGTCAAATTGATTTTGATTTCACAATTCCATACAGCTGGTTCAAACATTCATTTAAATACTGCATGAATATTAGAACAGAGAGGGTAAGGATCATATTTAAAATAATGATGTCACTATCCTGAATGAAAACATTATTTAACATTATTTAAATGGAGCTGTCAAACCATACGCTAATGTCACTTTATACTTACATGCCAACCCCGTACGAAGGACGGGTACTCTGCTAGTCACTAAATAAACAATTACCTAAGCAAAAAGTGAAAATGTATTATTACATTAAATTAGTACATTAAACAATAACGCACAATTTATTTTATGTTTTTCATTATGTTATTTTAACTTTAGTTTTTATAGAACAGACTAACAAGTCAAAACGTATTATACAGATTATTTATATCCTATGTTTAATATTATTTTGAAACCACATGGTAGAGAATTGTAATCCACTAAATTGTTACTTTAAATTTCAAGCAAATTTTTATTTTATCACAATATTTTTATACAAGTTTTTTTTTATATTACATAAAAAAATTATTATATAAATATTATTAGTCTAGTGGACTTTGGAGAATAAACTAAAAGCGAATTGCAAAACATACCAGGAAAGGAAATCAAAGAAATAAATAAAAAACCTTTTTAGCAGATTATTGGAACAGTTTCATTTTTTTATCAGGTAGAATACTTAGGAAGATCTAGGATTTTAAATCTTGTAAATTTTATATCAACAAATAAAACAAAGAAATAGTGATGCTTTGCATTTTAACCCATATTACTTTAATGGGTCTACAATGCATTTAGCCTATTTCAAATTTCAACATATCTTAAAACATATTTAGGTAACAAAACAAGAAAATACAAAATATAAAAAAAACAAATTTAAAAAAATACATTTTTATGTCGAGTGAAATTTGGAAAGTGTGTACATTTAACCAAACTTATGATCAAAATAATTCCAGAAATTTGTTAGGTGGTATCATATTAAGGTACGTTTGTACACAGATTTGTAGTGTACCTCAAGAAGTGTAGTGTAGTAAAAGACCATTTTACCTCAAAATAAAAAAGGTTTTAATTGTTTGCTTAGGCATTTTTGGACAGTCCTTCTAACTTCATTTTATAGAAATCCTATGTTATTAAATTATTAAGTCAAGCTTTTACAACAATCTGCGAACGATTAAAATATTAATAATGAGTACTTGTTCGTCAACATTATAGGATAGTCAAAGTAACCACATTGGACAGTATTCTTCCAAAAACTATTAAATATTTCCCTTAAAGTAAATTAAATTTAAACCTGTATACAAGTTATTTGAGACAACCCACACACAAAAATAACTTTTAAATAAAAATTCATATTGCGTCATTCAGTTTAAGTCCATGATCACAGCGTTGTAGTTCTTACAACACAATCTTTTTCACAAAGCAAGTAGACAAATGTTTATACATTGACGATTCCCTAAAATAAACATGTGTAAGCCAAATAGGTGGCTTAATTCAGTGGGATTCTACAAATAAATAGGATTAACTAATACTACTTTACACATCACGATCGCAGAACTCCACCAGGGTTACTGCATCTTCGACAGTTCGAACTTTGTGTTCATTATTTCCTGGAATTTCAAAATAACCAACGGTTAATTTAAATGACACTAAAGCTAAGCAGGCAATATTTACATTTTCACCAATTAGTATACATTATCTATTGATACTGATAGTAAACTTTTAGTTGATAGTAATTATGAAAATGTATCCACTATTGCTATATAGGATATTTAAAGCTTTTAATACACTTCACATGGCAAGGCATTGTGTAATGTGTTGTTGCATTTTGACAAGGCAAAAAGCCAAACGTTACTGGCAGAATATGAACCACAGTATGGCCTTTGACCCATTGACATACCTATGGACTTTGACCCATTGACATACCTATAGCCTTAGACCCATTGACATACCTATGGACTTTGACCCATTGACATACCTATGGCCTTTGACCCAGTGACAGTGACATACATATGGCCTTTGACCCATTAACATACCTATAGCCTTTGAACCATTGACATACCTATTTGAACCATTGATATATCTATGGAATTTGGCCCAATGACATACCTATGGACTTTGACCCATTGACATACCTATGGCCTTTGAACTATTGACATACCTATAGCCTTTGACCCATTGACATACCTATAGCCTTTGACCCATTGACATACCTATGGCCTTTGAACCATTGACATACCCACATACTTAGACCCATTGAAATACCTATGGCGTTTGACCCATTGACATACCTACAGCCTTTGACCCATTGACTTACCTATGGCGTTTGACCCATTGACATACTTTTATTGCTCTAGCTGATTACATAGAGGAATGGATATTTTCTCCCATTTAGTGTGACTTACAAAAACAACTATAATTTCCTTATTCATTAATATTATGTCTCAAAGTATAATTGAAATTGAATGACAATTTTTAATGATCAGACAGACGCTACATTTTGACACAAAAATTGAAAATTACCTCAAAACTCACTTGTTGTTTACTATTGTTCCCCCCTAAAGAGGTTAGGCAACCAAAGAAAAAAGAAACTAAAATACAGCAATAACCTATGCAGATGGACATAGATAAAAATATTGACGTGACAAGTGCTGCAATCCCTTGGAATGATTTCAAACTATAGAAGCAATGTCCTAGGAACGGAACAGTTCCGTCTAGGAATGACCAGGAGCACATTAGGAGCGGAACTTAAATGTTCCAACCTAGTATGCCACATTCAGACTCCCAAAACCACATTTATAAACTAGATTAAATTCTAACAAATCAACCGCCTAAAATCAACGTAAAATACAAGACTCCAAAACAATAAATGTGTAAATAAGTGTTTCGAAATAATGTAACAAAGATTAACCTAGGTAGGCTCAAATATAAGAAATCCCTGTCATATAAACATGGATTTGAGATAAAAACTGTTACATTTTGGTAGAGTAAATTTAAAATTAGAATTGTAATAAAATTGAAAATAAACTTGTTCAACTTACCTCGTCGGAATCCAAAATGGGTAAAGCACTGAAAAAAACATTTAATGATTAGAACTTTGGTTTTTAAATGTAGCCTAAAATTGTTTACACTAAATAATATAACTTTATGGATCCATTTAAATTTAAAAACCTAAAACTTGCTATAGCCTAGCTTAGACAATGAACCAAAATAACATTCTTGCCATTTTTTCAATATTTTTTGTTGGATAGTGAATGTAATTAAATTATTTCAAACAAAAAATCATGTTAAAGTAAAGTTTCTTTTATGTTAAGTTATGTAAAATGTTTTAACTACGTTCCTTAAAATGGATTAGTAGGATATTTTAAATGTGAAATATTTTTTTGTGATATGATTTATTAAATTTAGGCTATTAATAAAAATAAATAATATTTTTTGTTTAAAATAAATCCATATTGTTTGTGAAATAAAATAATACTGAAAAACTGATGTTTGAAAATAATGTATGGCACAGGTATAGTATGTTTTATTAACAGTATAAGAAAGACAAAAACTTATTTTTCAGCCTCAAAAAAGTTTCAAAAGTAAATTTGTAATTGGTATTTAATTTTCAATGTCCTTCTTACCTGTCTGCTAAGGACGTTGGGATGTTTTCCTCCACCCATTTCAAATCCTCCTCCTGTAAAACCACATTGAGTACTGTCAATTAAAAACCACAACATATATCAATCTATTAGAGTATACCACATGAAGTTTTAAAATAGCCAAATATCTATGGAATAAAAGCCATTACAGAAAGTACTAAATTTAGTTTTGAGCAATTACTTTATCCACAAATATTACAAAATACACTAGAAAAAACGTTTAAGTGTGTCAAATCAAACATAAACTTGGAAATCAAATCTATTTTTTGATCATCAGATTTAAAAATACTTAAAGAGTAAGGAGCTGTCAGCAATAACTTTAAAATCATTTAAGTGTGAAAATGTACCTATTAACAACTAGAGATAATTAAGAATGGCTATAATAATAAAATATTAATTTGTGATTGTTAAATATCACATTTTGTATGTGTTTATTTTTTGTAATTCTTCTGATAATTAGCAAGAATAAATAAACAAAAACTAGGTTGGGTTCAGAAGCAATTGTGTGAGCTGACTGAAATTTGAAATTTGCTTCAACTATTGCCAAAGAACATAGGTAAAAAAATCCTGAAATCACAAATTTTGGCCATTTTGGTTTTATAGTTTTCAGTTTTCACTTACCGCTGAATTCATCGACAATTTCTGCTTTGGAGAACTCGTCCCCGAATTGAGGCCCCCTCTCATTTTGACCCCTGAAAAAGGCATTATCTTTGAATACAAATATTCTCGACCATTAAATAACTGTTACATAATGATCAAGTATTACTCAACAGAAAATTAGATTTACTTAATAAAAAGTATCACTGAGAAAGTTACACATCAACTTAACCGAAATACCAGTTTGAATGCACGAAAACATCCCTTTTAAACTACTGCCCTAATACACGCTATTGCAATGTTTTAATTAAACTGAACCAACTAAATGACTTTGCTTAAAGAAAAAGGTTCCCACTTTGCTATCCTAGACGTGAATGTCTTTATTTTTTCAGAATGCAGAAAACATTTTAATGCAGCAATCAGCAAGATGCTTTAACTTTTTTCAATAAAGCTTTACGTACTTGCTCACTACAAGGTCTAAAATCTAGTTTAGTGGTGTAGAGTAATACATATGGTTTAGTGGTACAAGCATATTAAGTAGGCCTACTTGATTACATTATAACAAAATTGCATCAATAGAAAACTATAAGACTAGGTCATAGTTAAATCATATCACTACGTCTAATAGATATCTAATAAACAAATAGATTAAAGAAAACAATAAGGTCTTGCATGTCACCACACTGATAAATAACAATCTTAAAGCACAAAACTTAAAATTGTGAGTAGATTAGTCAAGTCACATTTCAATATTATTTTATTTAAGTATCTCACCATAAGCATCACTGACAAAATATTCTTCTTCTTCATCGTCCCCGTCTTCTGGAGCATCTAGGAGAGGCGTAAATGCATATCTACAACATTCGCCAATGCTTAGTAACCAACTAAAAGTATATTTATTTTTTTATTTAAAAGAAAGTTTTTATAAAAGTAATCTTGGGGTATATTTTATGTGATATAAAAGTAATTGGAGGCATAACATTTAACCAAAGAGATTTGTCTACACTAACCGACCATGACAGGACCCAGACATGGTCGGAACGCCCAAAAGTTTGGATATCATGAGTCTTCTGTTATGAACATAACAAGTTTCCCAGAATCACAGGAAAATCTTAAACAAATCCTGTAGTCACAGAAAAATCATTCCGCAGTCGTTTGTCATCATCGTAGTCTTCAGCGATCACGGCATAATCCTAATGTATACTAGGCAATGTAAACATCATTACAGCGGCTGCCTAAATGTAATTATGACTATGCGCTACGACTTCCTGCGACCACTGAAATTTTATGCTCGTCATTCGTAATGAATGCTGAATTTTTGGATTGTGCGATTTTCAAAGATGAGTCCTGCAATTGTGATTACATTGTGATTGTAAAATGAGAAGCTCAAGCTCAATTTTCTGACTAAGAATTCAATCTCTCAAGCTTGTAAGAGAGGCAAGGCAAGGCTCAGAAATCGAGCCGTTCGCACAATGTATAGCTTTTGGTACCTAAGAACGGAAGAACCGATATTCCGAGGTATGCCGAGGTCAGATACAATACAATAGTTTACATTTATAAAAAATATCCTTCTAACTACACTAGATGAAATTGACAGGTTGATATAATGTTAACAAAACTAAACTAAACCTAACCGGCGTGACTAATACTGCATATTACATTACTGGATCTAATACTAAATTATTTCAAAATTCATAAAGAATAAAAAATACAAAAATAAATAGATGTTAACGGACCCCCCTCCTCCCCCCCCCCCCCCCACACAGGGACAAAAAGGAGACAAGGCACTGACCAGAACATTTTGGGCTGGTAATGGAAAGAAACACAATCAATGTTTTCTATCACCTTCCTTAAAATTCTTACATTAAAAAATAACTGACACCTTAAAAAAGTCAAACTGGTATTTTGGTGACATACACCAAAAGTAGGTTGATGTTTTTTGTCGCCATTGTTTTACAAGAATGAAGAAAAGGGTACTCACATGTATAAAATAATAGAATTTGAATTCAATCTAAATTCATACTTTCAGTAATTTTCAGAGAATGTCATATTGTGTCTACCAAACTACTTCAATTGACATATTTGTAAAGATAAATATTGCTTATTGATATGAAATCTATTACTTTTCTACAAACTTGTAACGGATGCAGAGTACAGAAACCCTGAGGCAATATACATCTATCAGTAAAACCTGACCTATCACCAAAACATGATGACTTGTTTTGTGTTAAGAGTTTTTAAGCACCATTCATTACGATAACATAGCATTTTATATAGGCTAATACGTTTAGCAAAGTGATTTATAAATATTACAGCCATTCACACCATACACATCGTCCCTTTACATAATAATAATAAAATAACTGACATTTGTAAAACAAGTCTGTATTTAGCTCCGGACTTAAATCTTACATAGAAGACTACCGCAAAGACTACTTTCCATGAAAAAATTGCTATAAATGCTTCACATTGGCATTCTAAATCATAAGTTTGTAGTTTAAAATCATGACATTAAATTTTCATGTTTTCGTTAAGTTCTCAAACTATAACATTTTTTTAACTCATTAGCAAAACAGTCTTATATAAATGTGTTTTAGATTAACAATAAATGTATACTATTACCTTTGATTGTTGTTGGTCGGCCTCCATAGAATCATGATAACTAGAAGAATCACAGAGAACAGAAGTTTCCAATACGCATCATCAATCCAAAGCTCTTTCCAAGCCTAGACAAGAGTCAAATCTAATTTTTACATATTATTTTTAATATTTTACTGATGTTATTTGAATATTTATTTTTTGCTTTCATCGAAACCAAAGCTATTTTAGGACGTGTTCAACAAGGAAACAGTTTCTTTTTGGAGCAGAGTCACATTTATTTAGCCCATGGTTTATAAGGCCTTGCCTACTGGTAAAATATTGAGTACTGTAAGATTGCATGCTTTTTCTTTGTGACAATTGTACACCCTACCGAGTGCATCGAGACAACCCCTTTTCATTCAGAACATACAAAGTCTTCAGGTATCTGCAATTGACTGTAGTTCCTTTTTGTTTCAACAGACAGTGATTTGGATCTTTCTCAGAAGAGGGCCGCCACTATTTAAAGTTTTCCTACACGATTAAATTGTGCTCAGATGAGTTTCTGGTATTGAGAGAGTCATAGATAAATGAAAACTATCTGCAATGTACATATTGAAAGTCAGGTTCAGTCATCGGGCGATATTTTAACAACCCTAATCTTATCCCGTGTTGCCGCTACGTCCTGCAGTAGCCGGAACTCTGCGTCATTAGCCTGTTTTTAGTCAGACATTCAGATGACGTTACGTTTGTCAGTTTTTGTACGTTACGTTGGTTTTTGTGGTTTTTTAGTTTTGTGATTATTTTTGTTCAGTAAATTAAAAAACTAGTGAGTAAAGCTATAAACTAACCTAACCTCACGTCCTTAACTGTGGTTTTTTCCTCTTCTGAAAAAGTTATTTGTATAATGTAATAAGGGTTATAATGGTTTGTTTGTATTAATTGTGTTCTGTGTTATTTGGTCTTTCAACAGGTTTAGGTTGGATAGTCTAGACTCGACTATATGTACAAATAGTTTAGTAATACAGTAAATATTTACGATAATACAATAATATTTCTTATGTGTGAACTTACTGTAAAACAGTTTACGAGGTAATGAGCCTTGATAGAGTACAGCATAAAGACTACTGATGATATTACTGCGAAGATCAGAGTGTTAGTGAAGTGCCTGTACAGGTTGAGTTTCACCATGTTCCTGAAAAAGAAAAAACAATTAGATAAGATTACCAACAATAGCTTATCCTACCGATAGGTGGGGGCAGTGAATCTGGACTCATATCCAAATATTTGAGGTTAAGTGGGAAATTAGTTAAATTAATTGGATTTCAATTCAAGTCATGTGTGAATTCATCAACGATTCAACACTTATCTTTGCCTTGAACTCTAATGTCAGCTCACCTCCGCAGCCTCAATGTTCTCGTCGTCTGCACCAGACTAGTGAAGATCCACCAACAGATGGCAGAGTCCAGCACAGCCAAGGGCACGCTGGCCATCAACATCTGATTGGCCGGGTCACTCTTGGGCCGCATCACGCGCAGGTATGCCTCTGACGCAGCCAGTAGGAAGTACAAGATGCCTGTGGCCACTGTGCGGTGCAGCATGGGTCCCAGCCGGGGCCTGGAAGTACCAAAGAGCAAATAGTGTATTTGACTTTTCAAAATCATACATACCTACTCCTGTTAGCCTTGTTGATTATTATTTATTACACAATACACTTAATTTTTGTAAAAAAATTCTAATACATCTTTTTGGAAAACATTTTTGTTAATAGTTTAGGCTATTCTATTTTCACCACAGTATACATCTGAGTTATAACAGATTAAGCTTCAAAAAAATATTTAAAAAAGTCTCATTTTACTCTGAGACATTGTTTGTTAATCACAAGGGTTGTCTGTGAATCAAGGTCTCCATGTATTTCCAATTACAGCACAAATCTGAAACCAACGTTGGACAGTAATTAAATGGGACAGTAATAAGTCTCTCTCATCATGGTACTCGAATGTTGTGAAAGAAAATTTACGCTCCTGCGAAATATAAAACATGTTCTGTGGTTAGATTTCTCGGGTATCAGTCGTCAAATCTCATTGTCCATCACCAGTTGGCAAAAATGAGTAGAATTAAGTGTTTGGACGTAGAAAATGTGTGCAAGATGTGGAGGAGGTTTTAATTATTTGCACCATGTTTTCCATTAGGTAGGTCAACTGCTGTATTTTATCATTCTAGTTTGTAGCTGTAGCATTGAACAAGTTTAGGGGAATTTTCAGGTAGTTCACAAAACATGACTGTTCTTTGACTGTTGTTGTTGTTTGGCCGCAATAAACATGACTGAGTGAGAATGGTCATCAAAAAATAGGGAACATCTCTATGAGACTATCAAGGGCTATTGTCAGCCAGTCAAGACTATGGAAGACTTAAACAAGCCAGTCAGTAAGCAAATGTTATCCAATTCAATCAAAGGCCCAATGGAAACACATAAACACCAACTGCCAGCCCTGTTGTGCAAGTATGTAGAGCTTTCTGGCATCGCCTTTAGTCCCATAGGAACTTTTCTACGCTTTTCTACATACAAGTCTATTAACTAGAAACAGTTATTGTTAGGGATTTTGACCTCCTTCCTACAGAAACCTAATAAACAAACACGGTACTTGGCAGATGCATCAATTTTGAATTTTCTTTCACACAATTTTGAATACTTTTATAAGACTCATCCTGTATGGATCCGAACCATCTAGAAAAGTAGCAAATAAAGTTAGGAACACAGATTTAAACTTGCTTGGCTGCGACAGAAGTACGATGGAGAGCTTAATTTACGACAGTCCTTGTATTTAGTGTTAAAGAATTATTGTAACTTACTTGACAATGCCGAAGCCGAGACTGACAATGATGACCAACATCCTGGCCAGTGTTCTCTTGCCACAGCTGACAAACTCTGCCAACAACACGGCCGTTTGTGCTGACTGCCCCGTGGTGTTGATACTTTGGTACTGCAATCAACAATTACATCACTTCATAATGATGTTATTTGGTCCAGGATCACTTCTTGAAAATTAAAATGGTATAAGATTACATGTTTCTGTCTATGATCCTAAATTTGTAGTAATGAGCTACCGGTTTCGAGGTTATAACTTCAAAACTGGTACCTCATTACTACAAATTTAGGATCATAGACGGAAACAGGTAATCTTATACCATTTTAATTACATCACCATTATGGGATAGCGACGCTACTTAGGTGTATTTTAATTAGAGTTGATCAAGACCCAAACATAATGGAAATTTTTTCTTCCACTATGTCTTCAAATTTCTTCTCACAAGTTACTTAATCCTTTAGCCATGTGAACAAATGAGTTAATCTCAAAACCTATTTGTATATCACAATCATAGCATAGTGGATATTATTTTTTACACATAATGATTGGTTTAAAACACATTCATCGACTTTTCTCATTAACTTCTGATGGTTTAGATTTGTTTAGTTTGGAAGAGTCCGGTCCTGAGGTGTTCTTAAGAGAAAGGTTATTGTTTTTAAGTCTCTCTGATGAATAGTTTACCTCAGCGTAGAACATTGCCTTCTCCAACATGCCTAGAAGTATGACGCCTCCGATCCAGAACTGAATACGCAGCAGATCTCGCCACTGTAGAAACGAGACTATCAACCAGGCAAGACCTAGCACCACATACACCAGGCACATGGCCCCGTAAAACTGAAACACCACAATTCTTATTTAAAATATGTAAATAGGAAACAAATTAAATGTTTTTTTTTTTTGTAAATGGCCTATTTAAAGTTTAGTGGCTAACATTCTGGACTTCGGTACGAAAGTGATAGGTTCAGGTTTGATCACTCAAACTTCAGAAGTCCAAACCTTTTAAGTGTTTAAGCTGCTTTCCCTTAAGTGTTCTGGGATTCTTTCTAACTGAAAATTGCAGTAAGGACACAAATTAAATTCGTGTTAAATATTAAATACTAACAAAAATATTGCAAAATAAGTTGCATAATGAGTCTGTTAAAAATTTTAACATCCTCATAAAAAACCAAACTTAAATTAAATGTGAGTTTATCTCTACTCTTTTTATACACCACACATAATAAAAAAAAAATCTAAAACAAAATATTATTTACAAGTTAAAAGTTTATACTGTAGATTTAAAAAAGTCCATGCTTATATGATCAAGTCAACATGGAGTGGTACCTGAACATATGCCTGGTTTTTATCAGTTCAAATTAAAATATGGCATATATGGATCATTGAAAACCCAAATCCTCTACTACGGTTTGAGAGAACCGTCAGCGACAAGAGCCAGGGCAATGAAAGGCAGAGTACAGTTCAGGTTCAACCCATCATAAATCATAAATTTCAAACATAGGTTACATTCAATATTTTCTTTATAAACATTAAGGAAAAGGTGGAAATCCAACCAACTTATTTAGGAGAAGAATTTGAATAAAGGATTATGTTAATATAAAAAGATCAAATGCTTACCGGTAGCAGTGGCCAGTCTGCGGCTGAGAGGTAGCCTTGTTTACCCTTCATCTCAATGTGAACATCGGCTGAGAACGGAGAGTTGCTGGTCAGCTGTAGAGACAACATGTAGAAACCATCTTTGGTAACTTTCATTACTGGTCTTGAGGACGGCTTCTGTGGAACAATAACATGAGTGATGATCAGCCTGTTAACCATTACCAAATAAAAAGTAATCATAAAAACTAAATGGGTTTTCCAAATGAATAGGATATTTTTTGGTAACTGTCACTGGCTAGGTTTTGAATGTGGCGGATTTGTAAGTGTCTACTGTAGGCTATTTTGTAAGTCTGCAATGTTGATGACTTTGATAACCTTAAGGACATGGTGAATCTGTATTTCATCTAACGTAGAACTGTTATAACAGCATTTTTTCAGGTTATGGAAGAGTTACTGACGAAGGACTATCACGTGATATGAGGCTGTTTGGCTCAGCTGTGTTGAATTCTTTGACTACTACAGTGGTTGAAATGTTCAGTGTCTAAAGTCCGTTCCTAAATTTAGGCGGTTTAAGGGAAAGTTTTCCTGGGGTTTCCCCCACTTTTTTTAGCTTAATGTAACATGTATCAGCTGTTGACTGTTGTTTTAAAGTTAGGGTGAGGTGGAGAGGATGAAATTGCTTCCCCTCAAACAACCCAACTTAAATTTTGAGAACATTGTACACGTAAGTCACGCAAAAACTTTTCTCCATTCAAATCCAAAGGCTGATATTTGACAATATCAAATAACCTAGCTTCCATCTTCTGCTTCAAAATTTCATCATTCTAATGCAATTTTAGGTCTAACTCAACAACGTACTTTACTACCTACATGACTGTCCTTGTTGACGAAAAGGCCTAGTTATATCAGTAATGTTATTCATATTCACTTTCATACAGTCTGTCAATGACGACTGTGTCATTGAATTGCCGAAATTCCCAAGTGCTAGAAATGAAAGACACAAGAACAGATAGCTTTTCGAAGACTAACTACACATTATCACATGATAAACAACCTTGCCGGGGAAAGGGTTTTTTGTAATTATAGTCAACAAACCGTGTGAATCTGCTTTAACACTTGTCTCTGCTCGTGCAGCTCCGGACTTTGGCTTTGATGATCAAGTTTGTTTTCCTGCTGCGATGATTTCACCTGTGAACTTTCTTGTTCAATTTGTCTCCTAAGTCTGGAGCCTTGATCCTTAGGATCCACAGGCATACCATGCACACCTGCTGCCTCCGATTGTATATCCGTGTAAGCATCCTCAGCAATTGTCAGTTCTTTCTAAAAACCAAAAAATTACACTAAATTAGATTAGAAGATTCAAACAAGACTGACACACGAGGGTGTGTATTTTAAGAAGATGAGTAAAGGATGTGTTGAATGAGTTAACTTTGTTAATGACTGAGATCAGCTGGTTTTTTAGCAGGCACCATTTTAATACACCGTTCACAAAAATTAGTCGGTTTGAAGGGAAGTTCTCCCACCAATTTTTTGCGGTATGTTGCAGCTGGTTGACAGGTTAAATCAATATTTGTTTTATAACAGCTGTTGAGCTATTGTTTTCAAGGTAGGGTCAAGTGGATGGGATAGATTTCTTCTCCTAAAACCGCCTAAGTTTTGTGAATGGAGTATAATCATAGGTAAAACATACTCCCTTAGTAGATTTGCCATCCTTATGGAACAGCTGAAGCCAATTTTATTGTTAGTTCTGTACTTCCAACTGTAGAGGTCGTGTTAAGTTTACAATTTTTTTCTCGTTATTTCAGTCATTAAAAACCTCATTTAACCAAATAAAACGATATAATCATAAACAATAACTGGTCTCCTAGTTATATAACCAAATCGTAAAGCACAAATCATGAAAACAACCCTAAAATAATAGAAACAAAATTTTGTCTACCTCAGAGATCAGTGTGGACGTACATGAACTAGACACGAAAAACAAGCTTCAAAATTCACAATGAGATGAGGAGTCTACTTGTGTTGCTTAGTCTACACCAACATTAATTTTGTAAATAATAAATTGTCCAAAGTTGTACAGTTGTTAATAAATCTAAAAAGACATGTTTCCAGTAAATACTTGAAAATGGCATATTTTGCTTTTTTTGAAAGTGTTATCAGGTATGGTTTGATAATCTGGGGTAACGGAGTTGGAATTGAAAAAATTTTAATCTTCAAACAAAAAAAAGCTGTTAAGAGTTTTGACGGACTCAGAAAGGTTAGCCCACTCTATGCCACTTTTAGTCTCATCGGGGATCCTGACTATTGTTAACTTGTATATTTAGGAGGTATTGATGTTTGTCAAAATTAATTTAAATATGTTTTCTGTCAGAGAAGAAATACGTGATCATGTGACCAGATTTAGGCATAAATTAGATCAACCAATGTTTAGGTTAAGTAAATCAATGAATTATCATGTTAATTTAGGTGTAACTTTTTTCAACAAGTTACCATTGACTTTTCAGAGTTTGCCTCAAAAAGCATTTCATAATAGATTGTATAATTGGTTACAACTGAACCCATTTTATACTCTTGATGAATTTTTAAATATTAAAATAGAGTCTTCAAGCCTATCCTAATTTTAGATTTTACAAGATTTTTCTGTGATGTTAGCTCAATTTAATGTTGCTTGTTTATGAATGTGAATCATAAATGACGATGCCTATTGCAAAATTTTGTAATTTTGTCGAATGTCTAATAGATGTCTTATTTGTAATTATTTTGAAATTTTTTTATTGTTATCCTTTGTTTGCGGTTTTTCAGATAAGAAGCAAACCATTGTAATGCTATATTTTTTATTCCATGTCTACTTAATTTTTCAAGAAGTATTCCATGATCAACACAGTCAAAGGACTTGGACAAGTCACACAACACTCCCACAGTCTGCTGTGCTCCATCTAAGGCCCCAGCAATATTATTGATCATGTCGGTTACTGCTTTTTGAGTGTTAAGGTTAGGCCGGAATCCAAATTGAGAGGGGTTGATTAGATTATTGTTTTCTAAATATTTTACTAGTTGGTTTTTGACAATTTTTCAAAAAAATTTGAAAAGCTAGGTAGCAACGCAACAGGATGATTATTAGAGGGATTATCAACATCACCTTTCTTCAATAAAGGTTTTACTTCTGCATATTTGAGTTTGTCTAAAAAAACACCTTTCTCCAGGGACTGGTTTACTATTCTGCAGAATAAGTCTTCAAAGACATAAAAAACAAGTTTTATCACAAAAAGAGGGATTTCATCCCACCCTGATGACCTTGTGTTACTTATGGTATTCAAAACTTTCTTAACTTCTGCAACACAGACTGTCCTAAAGTTAAATCTTGCATTATTAAGTCGAGAAATGTGTTTACTATTTTTCTCAAATAAGTTAATTGCTTTGGTTTTATTTGAATATTGATAAGGATATGAGGCATTTACAAAAAAAATATTAAAATTGTTTGCAATTGATACAAAATTACTCATTTTGGCATTTTCACTGTTTGTAACTTCAATAGGTGTTTCTGACGATTGTTTTTTTAATCCAAGTTCTTTTTTACAACGGCCCTGGTGCAAGGCCCCACTAGAAAAAACAGGCCATGCTGCAGCAGGGGCAGCGCAACACTACGTCACAGTGGTGGATAGTTGTACTAAACTCTTACCATTAAAATCTTACAAACAGCCAGCTTGTTTATTTACCTAAGACATATGGCAATGGTGATGGCAATGAATTTATCAATGAAATCCATCCACTAGTGTGACGTCATGAATCCTGCAGCATGGCCTTGTTTTTCTAGTGGGGCCTTGCCTGGTGTGGCAATATACGCCTTGGTGTGGCATCAGTTAAAATTACAATTTTAGAAAATTAATTTGCTATTTTGTTTGTAATAGGCTATGGTTTTTTGTCAATAAAAAACCCCAAGACTTGTAATATTTTGATAATTTTACGTTCCTTCTTTTTGGTAGGAGAATCAGAAGCACTGTTCCTACTTCAGACAAAACTTTGGAGACAAAGTGGCCAGACTTGAAAAATATTACGGCAATGGACACTACAGAAAAAGAAAAACAGAAGTGAAACTACGACAAAAGACACCGTGTAAAAGAGCTACGAGTTTTGATCGCGAGGGAAAAAGTGTGAGTGTCTAACCGTGTGTGAATGTGAATGTCTAAGTGATATGGGCTAGTGGTTGGAACAAATTCTAACACTAGAGATTATATGGTCAAAATCGATGGGAAATTGTATAGAAAGAATAGTTTTTTTAGTTCCCACCAACAATAGATTCTAAACACGTGAACAGAGAAAATAAATGGGAAAAAATTAGAGAAGGGAAGGTGTAGTGACAGCTGTTAATTGTATCTTATTTGCTAACACATGTTATGATTATTGTTTGTTGTTTATATGTTTCTGTTTGTACCTACTTACTTAAATAATAGATGTTGTACATTTTTCCTTGTGAAATATTATTTGGCACCGCTACATTAGGTTGTTAGGTCTCATCTTGAGCTCAGTTTTAAGAAATGTCAAAACATTAATAAAGAATAAGAAATGTTAAAACTTTAATAAAGAAACTTAAATGTAAAAATTATTCTTAGACTATCAGGACTACAAAATATTACCAGCTGTATATTGTGATCACAGTCGTGTTCTTCTGGGGGAGATTTGACTGTGTAGAACGAAGCATTGTCTAAAGCTCTTTGTAGATCATTGGGTGGGACACTCCTGCTAAGCTGAAACCGAAAAAAAACATGATTAAGAGGCTCACTATTTAATGTTAAAAAGTATAAGTCTTATAACACATTTTTGCGTCTTACACATTTTTAGCGTTTTACAAATTGTTTGAGACATATTTATAATGTGCTACAACGTATGCGTTTTTCACTCTGATGTGATGATATTTTGGTTGTAGATAATATTCTTGGCAAGGGCGAGATAAGATGGTGAAAAGGTTTCTAAATTTAGGAGTTGGAGCGACACGTTTTTGGAAACTTGAAATTATTTAGTCATTTGAATGTTTTCGCCTACTTGTGAATTAGGCCTACTTTTTGAACTCCAAAAACTTGGCCTTTGTTCGGCCTTACCCAAGCACCAAAGCAAATCAAAATGATTCTATTATTTGACAAAACCAATAGCACTGTATTTAAAATTGTTCTTATACAACTATAAACTATTTTATCTCAAAGAACTTGTAGTAACTTATAAAATTGATTTTAAGGGTCATAACCAGGTTATTATCATTATAAAAATACTTACTGCCTCATTAATATGAAGGTAGTCTCTCCAACAGGCTACTTCTCCCAAAGACCAACTAACTGTCAACTTAGACTGGTCGTCCTTGGAGTCACATGTTACTGAAACAAACATTTTAAGGTTAAATTGCCAAAATACAGGTTTTAAAAACACACGATTAATTTATTTAAAAAATATACCCTCAATCTTGTAATACTAATAAGATCTTGCTATACTTGATATATGTGCTGCACTGTCAAAACAATTTTAACAACCGTTTTAAATTTATGAACAGAATGAATATGCCATATCGAAGAACAATAAATAGTGAACTTAGTAGATTTAAATTTTCATTTCGTGATGTATTTGCATGTAAGAGGGGAGTTAGTAAGTAAAGCTTTGTTCATTTGATTTCAGCACTTAGCCTACAGCATAATTTTACAAACAACATTTTATAAAAATGTTGTATCCATAAAAATCTGCTACCTGTCTCTTGAGCAAGTTTGCAACCACATCTTTAGGTTCTTCGTCATCAGAATACCACTGAAGCCCAGCCACCTCTATATATTCTGGGCTGAAGGGCATATATGTTGGAATATAAGTCCTAATTTAGATTTACCAGAAAGGCTTCTCTGTTAAATAAAAGAAGTGCGAGGCGTCGGCATGCAAAATCACAACACAGAAGTCAGTATACCGCAGGATTTGTTTTGAATGACCGATTTTAGAGATTAATCCATATTCACAAACGTCAAATTCCCGATGAATAGCTGAGGCTAAATACTTTTGTGACATTAAAACTCTTATGACATTTTACTCCTCACACTTGGCCGGATTTTCAATTGTTACACATTTTGAAACCCTGTAAAATCAATTGTCCGACCTTCACACGGTCACCACTAGACACCGACTGACCTGCAGTACACGTCAGTACATGAAAGCCAAGCTATCTCCATTACTTCACTCAGTGACCAGAGGTTACTTTTCCAAGCCCTCACAGACAAATTTGAAAATTTACTTTGAATCAAGTAAATGTGCGGTCACCAGAGAGTCTAGTGACTCTAATTATAATTCATACCTCTTTGGTTGTAACATGTGTTAAATTATTGTCACTACCCAAATATGCTATTTTCTGCCAGTTCAGACCATAAAAGGCAGTGGATAAATTCACAAATCTTTTAGGACAATATCGATGTGGGTAATTGGACTAGAGTTAAAATTGCTGTCTGATGATTTGATTTCAATTCATATAAAAAAGTTAACTATAATGGGTCTACCCGTAAAAAATTATAAAATAGTCAGTACAGTAATCAACTTACTTTGGATACGAATTTCTGATTCTTTAAAAAGGCTCTTAACCACTGCAACTTGGTCATTTTGCTGAAACAAGAAAAAATACATTTATGATCAAGTCAAATTAAAGGCAGTCAATCAAACTTATTAATGGTACTTTATAGCAGTATTTTTTTTTATAGAAACCTGAAGATGTTGCTTATGAGACACCATGACACTGAGGTGAATGCAAATAAACTGATAATTGGGTTCTATAGTAATGCTTGCGATAATTTACCACATTTGCATTACTGCCTCCACAATAAGATGTTATGGAAATCAATAGAGGTTATTGGCAAAATTTAGTATTTAGCCAAGAGATTTCTAAACTTAATTAATTAGGTTAGGTTTTTAAATCAATATCTAATTAAGTTTACAAAATCCAAATGCTACTACCGGTACCAACTTACTAGCTTATAGTAGGCCTATTATATTTTAGGTAGGTACCTACTTAGCCTATTTAATATTTTAAAATTGAAAATATCCAAGAATGCACAACTGTTATTTATTACAGACTCACAGACAACAAGTTTAATAGATGGTAAAAGTTAGGAGAAATGATAAGCCAAGCAATACCGTAGCCTATATAGCCTAGAGACTCAGTCAAGTTGCTCCTTTTTCTCATTAACTTACATAGACTACTTAATTGCCTATCAAGGTTTCAGACCTAGGCCTATAGCCTAACTCCAAAAGAAATTGAAGCATGAGAGGAATGTGTTTGTCAACAACTAAATAAATATGTAACTTATTAGATGGATTTGTCTAGTTAAAAAACCCAAGCATATCTATTATTTACTAACTGTTACATTTTTGGCATCAACGTTCAAAGGTGATGATCACGTTTACGTTAATGTGTTAACACGTATTACGGATTACAGGGCTTTAATTTTACTAACTTAAGCTAACTAACTTAGTTTGGTGTGATCTTGAGGGGGTGAGTGTTGGTGGGCCATCTTCAAAATAGAAAGTAGGTACGAATAAAATAGGTTACCGGCACCAAAGGCTAACCAAAACTTTAAATTCTTTTCCTGTTGCAGGTATAACATTTTTTAACACTTTGCCTCTTCAAGTCAGAAGAAAACCTGCTAAAGCGTTTGCAAAGAGTGTAAAGGGTTGGTTGGCTGCAAGCTCATATTCCTTGCAGGAGTTTTTCATCACAAATCGTTACTCAATGAAGTAAAAAGATAATAAAAATTTGAAAAGAGATGAATTAAATTTAACCCTGTTTTAGTATTAGTGACTTGGCCTACCGTATTGTAAATAATAGCCTACTGAACGGCGTAATAAATCTTGAATCTTGAATCTAGCACAATCTGCAATCTGAACCGGCAGCATGAACAAAGAGACCCTAGGGACACTTGCCAACACTCATTTATAAGGCTAAGTCTCCTACCTACAACCGTCGCAGCCAAAATTGACACGGGGGAGATCAGTTTGAGAAAAAGGTGAGAGCGTGGGGAAAAAATAGGCATAACTTAGTGTCCCAAAATCGTGTAGGTAGCCTGTACGTTGGAGAGCTTTTGAGGGAGACCAACAACTCCATATAAATAGGGATTAGTTCAGAATAAGGGTAAGTTTAGGCAGCCTACAGTTTCTTAACTGTAATTTATGCTATATTTATGTGTTAATTTATGCTAATATCGATTTAAACTATCGATTCGATTAAACTTACTTAGTAAACCTTCATAAGATTGTTTCATTACCTAGGCCTGTCAGCAAGTTTGGTTAGTTAGGTTAGGTTATGACAAGTTTCATTTTATAATAGATTAACTTATTTAAAAATATTGATTAGATTATTAATCAATATTTTTAATTGGATGGATTCAATCGATATTAGAATAGCCGAGTTAAGACACTGTAGGCCTACCACAAAATAAGTCAAAAGACAAATCGTGCAGCATAAGCATAACTTAAGTTAGGCCTACCGTTGTACTTTAGAGATTTGCATTTAAATTCAACAAGGCCCAACAAAGGTACCGGTAGCCCATACATTCCCATCCCCGGGGTTATTGGTAACACAGAGGATAAGCGTCCGGTAACCAGACGTGGATTAGGCGTCCGGTAGTGACATCACCGGGTTGTGGGGTCCCGGATCGCCATTACCACAACGATACGATGTTCGGCCAGCGTTGTTCGTGGTGAAGTGGATAGAGTGCTCGGCTGATATCCAAGAGGTCCCTGGTTCGAAACCCATCGGTATCTTTAACTTTTTGTCACAGATTTTGCTTTGAATGTAATTTCTTCTTAACTGTACATCTTTTGTTAGAATTTTTGGCATTTATAACTTAATTTTATGTTATGAAGAGAATTGGGTAAAACTGAGTTTTTACTACTTATGTTATTTTGACTTTTTTTTACTTTATTTACCTAAATTAGACTATTTTGAGCACTTTTTACATTTAACACTTTTGGGGGAAACGCCGTTTTCACCCTCAAAATCGCGTTTAAAGTTTGCTAAAATTGATAGCGGGACGAGGTTAACAAGCCATTTTTTGACATTTCATTTCTGGTCTGGTCAGCAGAAGGACGAGTCCAAGAGCTTAGAGGAGGGGAGTAAGGTACAGTTTCTTAATTGAGCTAAGCCAATGATTAAAGATATCGATTGGAAATATCGATTAATAATATCTATTATTAACTATTTTGATTATAAAATAAAACTGTCATAACTTAACATGACTAACCACACTCGCTGATTATGAACAAATCGAATTAATGTTTACTAATCTAATCGATAGTTTGATCGATATTAGCGTAGTATTGTTGCTTCCTTCCACCATGTGTTGCGGTATTAGTGTGATATTATGGGAGTATTGTTGGAGAAAGTTGTTTACCTTTTAGTTGTGAGCAAAATGGTGGAAGAAGCTGATGCAAATGTTTGTGAAAATTGCGATGCAAATTTATGTGAAAGTTGCGAAATTAGTTTGTTGGAGACGGGTGCGTGGGATTATGACCGGGTGGTGAGGTTTTTGTTGGACCATGGAATTTTCCACCGATCCGTAAATTGTCCAAACTGTGGTAGAGTATGCGTGTTGGACAGAATAAATTTACGGTACCGGTGCCAGAAAAGCCGACGTGATCCTAAGAAAGGAATACGGAGATGCAATTTTTTCTTAAGTGCGCGGAAGGGAACCTTCCTAGAAAGATCCCATCTCCCTCTAGAGAAGTATGTTCAGCTGGTGGCGTTCCTGCTTCTTTTAAAACCCCCACGACACTATTTGATTAGGGAAGAACTAGGGGTATCCGACCACTTCGTGGTCGATTGGTATTCCTTCTGCCGCGAGGTCTTTATTGACCATTCTCAAAGAAACTCGGCCATGATCGGAGGGCCGGATAAAATCGTAGAGATTGATGAGGCCAAATTCGGCAAACGCAAATACAATCGCGGTAGAGTTGTGGAGGGACAATGGGTATTCGGAGGTGTAGAGCGCGGGTCAGGGCGTAGTTTTTTAGTACCGGTAGACACAAGAGATGCCGACACGCTCTTGGCAATCATACAAGAATGGATTATCCCTGGCACGACCATTATCAGCGATTGTTGGCGTGCCTATAATTGCCTCCAACACAATGGTTTCAACCATTTGACGGTTAACCATTCCGTTAATTTTGTGGACCCTCAATCTGGTGCGCACACAAACACAATAGAGCGTCAGTGGAGAGATGTGCGCCATACAACGCCCAGATTTGGTGTGAGAAAAACCCATTTCATCGGTTATTTGGCTGAGTACATGTTCAAGGTCAAATACCCCTACAAGATCAGACTGCACGAATTTTTCCGTGCAGCTGCTCAGCTCTACCCTCCACCTCAGTAAAACCCCAAAACCTTTGTACATAGTGTAAATATTTTCTTCCCTTTTGAACTATTTGAACTATATTGAAGTAAACCCCCGTGTACATAATGTAAATATTTGCTTCACTTTTGAACTATATTGAAGTAAACTCCCAAAACCATTGTACATAGTGTAATATTTTCTTCCCTTTTGAACTATTTGGACCATATTAAAGTGTATCTTGCCATCTGGGTGTCGTCTTGTTTGGTGAGTAGGCCTAGTCTTTTAAACTACGTTTGGTTATGTAAGATAAGGTTAAGTTATAATTAATTTGACGGAACTGTTCTGAACTAACCTAACCTAACCAAACCTGATGTATGGTTACATAAATCTGGCAATCTGGTTGTATTCTTCTTTGGCGAGCAGGCTTATATACTACGTTTAGTTAGGTTGGTTAGGTTAGGTTACATTAGGTTATAATTAATTTGACGGAACTGTTCTGAACTAACCTAACCTAACCAAACCTGATGTATGGTTACATAAATCTGGCAATCTGGGTGTATTCTTCTTTGGCGAGCAGGCTTATATACTACGTTTAGTTAGGTTGGTTAGGTTAGGTTACATTAGGTTATAATTAATTTGACGGAACTGTTCTGAACTAACCTAACCTAACCAAACCTGATGTATGGTTACATAAATCTGGCAATCTGGGTGTATTCTTCTTTGGCGAGCAGGCTTATATACTACGTTTGGTTAGGTTGGTTAGGTTAGGTTACATTAGGTTATAATTAATTTGACGGAACTGTTCTGAACTAACCTAACCTAACCAAACCTGATGTATGGTTACATAAATCTGGCAATCTGGGTGTATTCTTCTTTGGCGAGCAGGCTTATATACTACGTTTAGTTAGGTTGGATAGGTTAGGTTACATTAGGTTATAATTAATTTGACGGAACTGTTCTGAACTAACCTAACCTAACCAAACCTGCTGTATGGTTACATAAATCTGGCCATCTGGGTGTATTCTTCTTTGGCGAGCAGGCTTATAGGCTATAATACGTTAGGTTAGGTTAATTTATAATTAATTTGACGGAACTGTTCTAAACTAAACTAACCTAACCAAACCTCTAGAATGTGTATGCAAACTCCTTTTGATGTCAGAAAAGGCATGTCAGGGTGATAGGTCGTGCTGTATGTGAATTGGTGACTGCATTAAGTCCTTTGAAGGTAGGTTAGATTAGGTAAGTTAAAGTTTAGGTTATAATGTATCGAGTTGTTAGTTTATGTTGCCTGCAGACTGTTTTTGTAAAATTGAAATCCTGCGAAAAACACTTCAAATTACTATTTCAAAAATGCAAGCATTTTTGAAATAGTAATTTGAAGTGTTTTTCGCAGGATTTCAATTTTACAAAAACAGTCTGCAGGCAACATAAACTAACAACTCGATACATTATAACCTAAACTTTACCTTCCTAATCTAACCTAACTTCAAAACACTTAATGCAGTCACCAATTCACATACAGCACGACCTACCACCCTGACATGCCTAAATAAGAACTACATGTAATTAGTCCACCAGTCCATCTCTATATCTCCATAATGTGACGAAATTCCTATTATAGAGAACATCTTCTTTGGTGAGCCAGGCGGGTACAGTTTCTTAACTGGGCTTTGCTAATATCGATTGAAACTATCAATTCGATTAGTAAACCTTTATGCAATTTTTTCACCATCAGCAAGTATGGTTGGTTAGGTTAGGTTATGATAGTTTAATTTTATAATAGATATATTTAAAAATATTGATTATTATTCAATATTTTCAATTCGATAGTTTCATTTGGTTAGGTTAAGCTATAATTAATTTGACGGAACTGTTCTTAACTAGGCCTAACCTAACCTAACCAAACATGCTGTATGGTTTCATAAATTATAGTCTTACAAGATAAAAAGGCATGTGTTGAAGACAGGTCGGGTTTTCTGACGATTCGTGACTACATTAAGTTCTTTAAAGCATTTTCAAATCGTTTCCTTTTTGTCTAACCAACTAAGCCTACTCCAGATATAAATAACAATGTGGTGTAACACGAAATAAACAACCCGATTACCTATAACCCACACTTTACTTTCCAAATCTAACCTTACTTTAAAACACTTAATTTAAGCCAGGAATCCTCATAAATCCCGACCTGCTCAAATAAGATCATTGGTCAATTATGTGTTTCATTAGCTTTATAAGTTAACTGTTGTTTTTTCGTTGACATTTCATTTGTACTTACATTACTGTACCCTTACCGTGGAGTGGATGTAGTAGAGTAGAGGTTAATGGTTATAATACCTGCGAGGTATTATCGGATTAAATATCGATTTGGATGTTGTTCGATATATCGCTTATTAAATCATTATTTCTAATCAGCTGGTAACATTTTTAGAGCCCGAGAGTAAGTAGTCACCGGCATATCCCTCCGCTCCTTGTTCCTTGCCCAAGCGTTAGAGAAAGTAGTTCCATATATTTTCTCAATTTTCAGTGATTTCAGCTTCTAAAAAAAATGTTTTAAAGGTATTTTACCGTTTATAAGGATCGTGGAAATGTTTTGGGAAGGTTAACAACAGTCCAGATTAAAAAATACACCACTCAAGGCTGCCAATATTTATTTTGTTCTTTTGGAACACAATCTATGAACGTAATTTTAATTTACCTACCACCATAATGGCCATATATGGCCTTATTGTGAAAATTTTTGGCAAACTTTAAACGCGATTTTGAGGGTGAAAACGGCGTTTCCCCCAAAAGTGTTAAATGTAAAAAGTGCTCAAAATAGTCTAATTTAGGTAAATAAAGTAAAAAAAAGTCAAAATAACATAAGTAGTAAAAACTCAGTTTTACCGAGAATTGAACCTTCATTTGATTTTTTTCATTATCAGCAAGTTTGGTTGGTTAGGTTAGGTTATGACAGTAACTGCCGGACGCCTAATCGACGTCCTGTTACCGGACGCGTATCCAGTGCCGGATTTACCACTAGGCCGATTAGGCCGCGGCCTAGGGCCGCAAGCAAAACGGGGCCGCAGAGGATTGGGAAAAACATTTTTTAGATAAAATTAATTACAAATAATTTATTTTAAACCACCAGTTTGCCGCGATCACAGGTGACCATAATGATGTCTCCGCGGACCGAGGGAGATGTTCACGATTTTGCCGCGGCCTCGGGTGCCTGTGATGATGTCCCGTGATTGCGGCCCGCGGGAGACGTTCACGATTTAGCCGCGGCCGTGGGTGACGCGGATGTCTCTTTATAATCACAGCCCGCAGGAGACGTTCACGAATTAGATGCTGTATCGAGTTGTCAATGATGATGTCCCCGTGATTGCGGCCCGTGTGCGGGAGATGTTCACGATTTCGCCGCGGTCACAAGTGTCGATGATAATGTCCCCGTGATTGCGGTCCGCGGCAGATGTTCATGGTTTCACCGCGGCTGTGAGTGTTGATAATGCATCCCCGTGATTGCGGCCCACGGGAGATGTTAACGATTTCGCCGCGGCTCGGGGTGTCAATGAGGACGTTCCCGTGATGGCTTCCCGAGCGGGATGTTTAAGATTTCGGCACGGCCGCGGGTGACAATGATGAAGTCGTCATGATCGCAGTCGACGGGAGAGTTTTTTTAACACGACTTTGCCGCGATCGCAAGTTTCAATTATGATGTCCCCATGATTGCGGCCCGCGGGAGATGTTCACGATTTTACTGCGGTCCCGGATAACTATGATGGTTTTGACTTGGTTTAGGAGAGATGTCAACAATTTCATCCAGGATCACGGGTGTCGATGATGATGTCTCCTTGATGTTTAGGAGATAGTCACTATTACTTCCGCGATCGCAAGGAATTTTCACCACAGGGGGAGGGCCGCTCAAGTAATTTGGCCTAGGGCCGCAAGTAACCTAAATCCGGCACTGCGCGTATCCTTTACGTATTGATAACAACAATGGGATTTTAAACTAACAATTTTGCAAAAGCCAATTGAATACACTATTCTAGGCTTAGCAAGGCAATGGATAATGGATATGGTTGTACAAATAACCTAAACTATGTCTAGAGGGTGTTCTTTGTTTAAGCCTAAGTTAACTTAGCCTATTTAGTTGCAAACTTTAAAACTTGCTTACCCCATCTAAACGAAAGTCCCACTTTCCTTGGTCAGGGTATGCAAATGATTCACAAGACAAAATGTAGCTTAGTACTAATGTAAAAATACTGATTAAATTGAGATAACCGGCCATAACTAGGAATGAGATAAAATATTTTAGCCAACACTATAATATCTTACTAACAACTTCAGTTACGAATAGCTGATTGCAAAATTAATCTATGAAGCAAAACATCTTGATTATGAACTATATTTGTGTTATGATAAACACAACAAGAGGACTATAAATCGTTGACAACACAACAAAATTTGTTGCAAATGCAGAAAAAGGTGACAACTACATCAACATAACACTAAACATTGCGACTGCGTCAACGCATTGTCACTTGTCAGCCATCATGATCTGTCATGTTCTATCAGCTGTTTTTAACTACAGCCTCTGTCGGTCTTTGTCCACTGAGCTATAATTCTAACTGGAGGTAGCACTGAATGTCAAAGATGCGTGTCGCCAGCCGCCATGTTTGCGTGAGTCGGGTGTCATAAGAAGCCATATTATTGCTATAACTATTATTATACTTGGCTTAAAATACCTACTTTGTATGGTCACCATTTCAAAGAAAATTATTAAAGTATTTAAAGTATTCAAGTATGACAAAAATACTCACTGCTATACCAACCTAGTTATAAGAAGCCATGTCATTGCTATGATAAGAAAACTTACTGCTATACCAACCTAACAAAATCAGCGACACGCTTTTGACAGACTTCTGCCATGGCAGTGCTACCTCCAGTTATAATTTTAGCTCAGTGTCTTTGTCTATAGCTTCGTGTTTCATTGCTCTTTGTAAAGAAATTATATAATTGCATGTTGTTGTATGATGCTGGTAAAATAGCAAAGTGAAACGGTTAAACTGCAGCGATTATTACATGATTACAGATTGCACTATTAATTTACCTGGTATATGGATGAGAGTATGGAGTATGACATATGAATAAGGAACAAGAAAACCCCAAAGCGGAATTATGTATAACAAAGTATAATCAAACTCACAACCACGGCAACTAAACTCCTTTTACCTTTTACCTTCGATGTCTTCACCACAATCCGTATATCGGGGAATCGTCATAGTTCTTCCGTCTGGACGGGATTTTGCTGTATGTTCACTCCGGGCCTGGTAAATTGGCCACGTCGCAAGTAGTTTTGCTTCAGACGTCCCATAAGATAACATGGCAGACAGGTGACACCAGCTCAATACGCGTATTATTCATTTAAATTCAAAGTTTATGAATATACATTTGTTAAAATATTAAAAATATAACATATAGAATCGAAAACCAAAACAATATAAATTGAACTTTTATTTCTGTACATTATTTAAGGGCTGCACACACCGGAGCGGTACGGCGCGGCGGAGTGGTAGCGGTGCGATATTCGTGCGGTGATTTAGTACAATGAAAGTAAATACAAGAGGCCACCCTGGAGCGGTGCGAGCGGTAGCGGTATTACCGCCCGTACCACCATAGATAACACCATTGACTATACATACTTCTCAAGGTAGCCTACCACTGACCGCCGAGATGCAGCATGTTCCGTTTCACCACCCAGCGGTGCCGGTGCGACGAGCCTGGTATTTGTGTTTCTCGTCTTTTCTATGTTCAGGCATCAAATCAATGTGTATGGTACTATTCGCCATGCTCAAATCGATTTTTGTGATGTAATGTACCCACTTCCTTAATACCTTACCTCCTCCTTCGTCTTTTACCTACAAAGTGGGATTGCTCAAATCAAATTGTCTTTATTTCATAGTTGTACTGTACATCAGTTTTAGTAGGTGACCTCCAAAAAATACATCTAAAACTTAACCTAAACAAAACAAGTCTCTATAAAGAAAAAACACTTATTTGGCATTACATTCTGGACTATTTGGGGTAGGGCAAAGCAAGGAGAGGTAGGTGAGGCCTTCCTGAGAAAAAAAAAACTTAACTTAAAAATGTACTAAACTCGGATGGGTTAATTATCTCGTGAAAAATTAACAAAATAAATAGAGAGTATTGTCAATGACTTAACAGTAACTTAAAATCTTGGTCCAAAAAATCAGTCCTCTTGAACTCAGTCTGTGCAGATGCAGTCACATGAATTATAATACCTGAAACTTATTTCAGCTCTAGGAGATTTCATTTGTTAAGCCGGGTTTTCCTAGACGCGGAAGAGGAGCACGGAGAGTGGAGAAGCGATTAGCATGGCATTCCGCTACGCTTCTAGGAAAACGGTAACATTAAATTACCTAAGACAAGGGGGTTCCTCTCTCCGCTTCCACGCCTAGGAAAACCGAGCTTTATATTTTTTTCTATGGATTTGGATTGCAACTTATCCTATAGTCAATGATAGTGCACAAACACTACTCCGTTACCAAAATTTAGGCAGATTTAGGGGAAGAAATCCATTTCCTCCACATCTTGATCCTACCATTAAATCATAGCTCAACAGCTGTGATTTTGTCAAACCACAAATTAGCTGCAACATAGGCTACATTAAGTATAGAAAAAAGTGGTGGGGGAACTTCTCCTCAAACAGCCTAAATATTGTGAAGAGATAGATCAGGAGAATAAACTAATGTTCCATCTCCACCAACTTTTAAGGATGGGAAAAAGGGGCATCATTTGGGGGGGAAGGGGGGCATTTGCCCCCCCCCCTGGATCCTGGGCTAGAGAAAAAAATATGCTGTACTAGCCAAAATACAAATATTTTCTCCTGTCAAATCCTAAAAAGCACAGCAGACAAAAATCTGTATATTCTTGTACAGTAATTTGTAACAGTAAAAATTATTATTGTTTTATTGTCTTAGATAGCAAGATAGCACATTTTGAGTTTACATAAATTAGTAATTTTTTAATTCATTTACTTTTTCTGTTTGGTGCTGTACGATAAACCACTTACTTCTAGTTTATATACATATATATACATAAAAATTCAGATTTTTTAGAAGCATTGATTTGTCATTTACTTTTATGAATTATTTAAGCATTAAAATTATACATGTGTATACATTTTACGTAATTTATTTTAAACATTGTAGACTACCAATTTAATATTAGTTAAATAGAACCTGTTGTACTTTTGTGTCAAATTATTTTATTGGTGATAAAATTTGATTTGCTTTTAAGTTCTTAAACACTGTACTTGTATTTTATTTAAAAACCAAAATAAACTGTTATAAACTATAGGCCATGAACAACCATATTCATTTTTGTTAAATGTTGTACAAGAGAAATTGGTCATGAATCTAATAACAAACATAATATTAATACATCATGGAACTATGATCACGTTTCTTAGATGACTAACTTACACAAGCATAAAATTATTGTGTTTCTGTCTGTTGTCAATAATTCTTAGTTTCATTAATTTTCTGCCTAAATTTAAATAAATTTTACTCATAACTATTTTTTATTTGAAGTGCTTTTGACAATTAAAATAAGCTTATAAACCCCTCTTTTTTTGTTTCAAAACTGCAAAATTTTCCGGGGGAGGACCCCCGGAGCCCCCTTGATTGCTGGGGTGTCATTCCCCTCGGTGTTTGCCCCCCCCAAGGATTTGGTGAAATGACGCCACTGAACTTACCAGCTTTAAAAATTCTCTGAGTGCAGAAATAAGAGTTGAAATATAATTTGGCATTTAAAATATTAAGCAAACTTATTAAACATATTACATAAAGGGGTTGCTTATTCTTCCCCATGATTACACAATAATCTTCAATATACACACAGTACTTTTTTGTACAATAACAAATTATTCAAGATTTTGGTGGAAACCCCACACTTTTGGGAGTCCTAACTTCTGTGTCTGGTCTAGATCTTGGTAGTTAGTTCCAAATACAGTCATTTAATCAGTAGCAGTAGACTAGTAGTGCTTAGAAAAATAAAATGTAATGTAGCAATAGAGTTTATATAGTAACGTTAACCTTTCTTTTCTGATCTTTCATTCATTGCCTCTGCAAATTTAAATCCATGGGCATGCAAAGGTCACATTTCCATCTTCAGTGTCTACAATGTTACCAAGAGTGATTACTTTGTTTTTACTTTCATACATACAAATTACAATACAAAGGTAATAAACTGTGTTTTAATGATTTTATGCACATAATTAAGTATTAAATATTAAAAATATAATTTTTACATTGAATTCGCATACACACCTTTTACCTTTTTGGTAAACAGTATCATAGTCAGAATAATATTAAGTTTCTATTGATTTTGAAAAAACAAGCTTTGTTCTGCATGCTTTTGTCAAACCTGAATATTTCCTTTATTTCTATAACAATTATTTTTAAATTAATTTATTCTGCAATTATTTTAAAATTTCTTCCCCCATTCGTAGTGGGGAAACATCCTTAGTATGTGGCTGCTACGAAGTTTTTATTTATTTTTTAAATTTTGTTTTTTAACGGTGATATTTCCAGAAAAATCTGACTTTTGCAAAAATGACCATAACGATTTTGAATCAAATTTAGTATGTTATGTTAATTTAAAATCTAAACACCACTGATCTTTGCAATTCACCTATTGGGTCTGATAATGATTGGAGTGAGCTATCAAAGTTGATCACCATTACCATCTTATCTTACTAATATTATAAATCTGAAAGTTTGTGAGTTTGTGTGTATGTTTGTGTGTGTGTTGCTCAATCACGCATAAACTACTGGACGCATTGGGCTGAAATTTGGCATGCTGATAGCTCACATTCCCGATTAACATTAAAGCATATTCTTATCTCAAAAACACTTTCGGGCTCCGCCCCAGTGGCTCTGTAGTTCCCCATGTTAATCTTATGATTTTTCATATTTAAAAGGAATTAATGAATCTTAACAGCTGTCTCAATTAAACAAGTTGGTTCTGTTCTATGATGTTCAACAGCATAAAAGTTACAAGGATTACCAACAGGGTGCAGCACTATTAATTTTTTTTTTTATTTATGACAACAGCTAATTTCCAACCAAAAGGTGAGTGAGCGTAGCGAACGAACTTCAACCAGGACGTGAATGAGCCATGCGAATACTTATGAAGTTAAACGGGGCGAAGCCCGCGGGTACAGCTAGTCTTTTATATATATTTATAGTCTTGTTTAAATAAACAGTATAAGTGTAAATATATGTTTTAAGTGTTATTAGACATATTTTTATTTACTCTCCGTAAACAAATGTAAACTTGAAAAAAGTTCAGATGATTGACAACTGAATTCATCACAAACTCTGGCCTATAGTACGCCTATAGTACTTTCACGGTATATCATCCAAACCCGCAAAGGCATATCTAGTGGATAAGAGCTTAATTGATACCCAAGCCTATAAAAATA